GTATTCAATAAAATATTTATAATTAAAAAATTTATCATTCTTTTATAAAAAAAGATTTATAAGTTAATAACTAAATTTATAAAATTATATATTTAATTTATAGGTTAAACAAATATTTTTTTCTTATATTATTATTATTATTATTATTATTATTATTATTATTATTATTATTATTATTATTAATTGAAGTGCCATACGGTTCGCGGTAGGTAATCATTTAGCGTCATAACATTGTGCGAGACTTCATCACACACACAGATAAAAAAAGAAAGATAAACAAAAGAAGGATAAGCAGGAGGAGACATCTCGATTATTATGAAAAATCCTGATAAGCATTTGCAGGAGGGTGGTGACGGCCAGAGTTGGTGTTCAGTGGCTATGCTCCGAGTTGGTTTAAGTTAGTAAGAGGCGTGGGCGACCATACATGGGCGTAGGCGGCCATACATGGGCGTAGGCGGCGACTGGAGTTGGTTGGTGGTTGTACTGGCTAAAGTTGGTTGGAGGTGGAGGTGGCGACAGCGGGCTGAGTTGGCTCGATGCGGAGGCAACCAAGTTGGTCGGATATTACGACGACGGGAGGTTCCAAAGGCTGCAGCGACGGGAGGTGTCGGAGACAGCGACGAGAGGTAACAGAGAAGGCGGCGATTGGAGGTAGATAGAGGCGGTTACAACAGCTGGAATCGGTGGCGGATCTTCGGTGTTGGAGGCTAAGCCTGGTCCCTCTTATTGATCAGACGGTCTGGAGAGATCCATTTGATCAGGTGATATTTGATAAAAATTTGACTGCCTCAATGATGTCGGAATTGAGCGATCTTGAGCTCGTTAGATTCATCTTGTCAATACGCTCAATCAGATTGTAATCATGTCATAACAGAAATTCGTTTAACCTCCAAATCTGCCAAGTTTCCAAAAGAGGCTTAACAACTTGATTCGGGTTTAGATCTGACTCGGGTTAGACCAATTTTGGTACCATTGAGTCCGTCTCATCGAACCGATCAATTTCACTGCTGTAAGTTTATTATTATTGCATTAATTAGGAGACACCACTAAAAGCTTTGAAAAGCACAAAAAACAATACAAGAAAAATAATGAAGCTTTAAATAATTCTTACATATTAACATATCTGAAAAATAATGATTTTCTATGTTTATATCATTCAATCTTAATATCACATCTAAATCATTCCTATTTTAATTTAAAAAAAAGTGAAATAAATATTTTTATGTATATAGATAAGATGGTATATTTGTAAAAATTTAAGTTTGAGAATGAGACATATACATACATAAGAATAGAGTAGTATATAAGTAGGGACTCAACCTTGCATCCATCATCCGCAGACCGCAGGTAAGAAATTATCTACATCATGATGGACGATCACTGTTATTGATTGAAACACATTGTAGGTATATTATGTCACCTGTATTTAAAGGAAAATTTACATACACACCACTTATTTTCTATGTATTTACATATGGAATGCCTAAACTTCCATTTTTACCAATATGTCACATTGTTTTATCCATGAAAATATGTATTTCATTTTTTAAAAGTTAAAATAATGATATTTTTATGTGATATAAGAGATTTAAGTTGAATAAATTTAAAAGAAAAGTTTAGGTGTTGGATATTTATCTACGTAAATGCCCATTAAAATAACATATTATATATATATATATATATATATATATATATATATTGGGTGCTAGAAGATTAACAATGATAGAGTTATGATTATTTATTCTCTTAGCATTGCATGAAAAAAGACACACACTTAGGGAATTAAAGAGAAGTAAGCTGGAGAAGACACCTTAACTTTTTATGTGGATAAAACCACGGGGCTTAGTCCAGTTGAAATAATTCACTATGAATTGTATGTATACATGTCCATTCTTCTCCAAAATTAGGAAAGATAGAATTATAAAGTTGTATACCCGTAATCTAGTTGTAGTTTTTGGCGACAGGAGACTGCAATGGTCATAATCCATTGTTGTGGAGGTATTAGTCCGTCGTGAGTGTTGTAGATGGTGGTTGCAGGGTCAAATAGTTGTAGAAGTTGTAGTTGATAATTATAACAACAGTTGACCAGATAGGGCATAGATGGTTGCTTTAAGAGCGTAGTGTCATAGTGATCGTAGTAAAGAGTTTCAGAAGTTTTGTACTACCTAGGTTGTATAAGACAGTGGTGAGCTGCAATGAGATGTGTGAGCCACAGAGGTTGGACTCAGAAGTTGCATGAGCAGTTGTCGGCACTATTTTTGGTGTGGGGTTTGC